GTTATGGGGGAAAAAGCCGCTGTAATCCAAAAGTTGTACTTTCGAAATTTATATTTATTAAATAAAAGTCAACAAAAGAATGGCTTTTTTAGATTGGTTGAGTATATTCTAGCCAGAAAATCATGCATTTTTTTGTTCAAGCAGCTTCTATACAGATGTCAAAATGTGTTATATTGAATTCCAGTTGTTTCTCATCCCCTCTGCTGTATATAACTGGCATTCCCCACTGCTAAATCTTGACTTGGACCTTTCCACTTATAGGAATGACTGGGCTTGGTAATGAAAACACAAAGAATATGGGAAATGGCGAGTAGTCTGATTTGTGCATGATTTCTGGTCCAAAAGAGAAGCAGTGGAATTTGAGGCTGTTAAAAATAGTATATTGGGAGCATATTACAGAAGGCCTTGACTGTCAGGCTAAGGAGTTACTTTAAGCTATGCAGAGATATGGAACGTTTGTGCATGTGCAGAGAAGTGATCTGAACAATTAACTAATGTATTAGTCATAAGACGTCTTTAGGACTAGGGAAATGATTAAACTTGCCAAACCTACAGATTGTATATTTTTTAAAAATTTTATTTGTGATATACAAATTTCATGCATTTTATATATACAAATTTAGGAACATAGTGATTCTTCCCACCCTACCCTCTCTCCCACCTGCACTCCCACCCTTCTTCCTCCTCCATCTACTATCCCCATTATTATTTTTTTAAAATGTTGATTTTCATTTATTTGAAAGACAGAGTTACAGAGAGAGGTAGAGACAAAGAGAGAGGTATTCTATCTGCTGGTTCACTCCCCAGATGGCCGCAACAGCTTAGCAGAGAGCTGGATCAGAAGTGGAGCAGCTGGGACTAGAACCGTTGCCCATATGGGATGCCGGTGCTAGAGGCCAGGACATTAACCTGCTGAGCCAAAGTGCCGCCCCCCACATTCTTATTTTTAAAAGATATGTTTTCAGTTAGCTTTATACTCATGAGATTAACCCTATACTAAGATTTCAACAAGTAGTATGAAGAAAAAAAAAAAAAAACCACTGTTCCTGAACAGTTGAGACAAAGGATGTTAAAAAAAATAGCATCTCAAAGTGTCAATTTCACTTCTATAGATAACCTTTTGGGTATTCTATTAGTTACCACAGATCAGGGAGAACATATGGTCTTTGTTTTTTGAGGACTGGCTTATTTCACTAAGTATAATGGTTTCCAGTTGCATCTATTTTGTTGCAAATGACAGGATTTTTTTTTTACCACTGTGTAGTATTCCATAGTATATATACACCATAATTTCTTTATCCAGTCTTCAGTTGATGGACAATCTGAATTGATTCCATATCTTGTTGGGAATTGAGCTCTGTACTGGTAACATTATTTTCATTTTATTTATTTATTTTTTTACAGGCAGAGTTAGACAGTGAGAGAGAGAGAGATACAGAGAGAAAAGTCTTCTTTCTGTTGGTTCACCCCCAAAATGGCCGCCACGGCCGGCGCACTGTGATGATCCGAAGCCAGGAGCCAGGTGCTTCCTCCTGGTCTCCCATGCGGGTGCAGGGCCCAAGCACTTGGGCCATCCTCCACTGCCTTCCCAGGCCACAGCAGAGAGCTGGACTGGAAGAGGAGCAACCAAGACAGAACCCTGCACTGCAACTGGGACTAGAACCCAGGGTACCGGCACTGCAGGTGGAGGATTAGCCAAGTGAGCCACGGCACCGGCCATTATTTTCATTTTAAATAATGGATTAGTGTTGTAATATTCAATCCAAGAAGTAGAGGTAGTTTATGAAGCACAATAGGTCTGTTTATTGTACCAGTCACATCAACTTAATAAATATGGAGCTTTGAAAATTTCTTTCTATCACTGGTGTCAATATCTTAGGTGTCTCATCTATAAAATGAGGAAAACAAATTATTAGATCTCAAAGTTACAGTATAATCCTGACATACCATGATTATTTCCTTTTCTCTCAAGCTACCTCTGGATAGACAGTAGCTCATCAGTTTAATTATTGAACAGAAACTTCTGTTCTGGGCTTCAGATTAAACCAATTTTCAACTACCTGTGAAATAATGCAGTGACCATCAGGAGAATATATCAATAATCATGTATGAATCATAAATGAATCTATTGAAAATATTTTTATTTTTATTTAGCATTGACTTTTAACTTAAAAACTTTAAGTTTATTGATGAAGAATGTTGCTAATATATAAGTAGAGTCAGTAGGGGATGGAAATGCATTCTCATGAGAGTATTTGGCTAAGAGAGAAGTCACAGTGTATTGCCCTCACATTCAGGTATTTGAGGTACAACTTTTAGCTTTCCCATTAACTCTTTGGGTGATTCAAGATTATTGTCAGAGAATTTTGTATTCCTATCTATAAATCCACCTGGAGTATATAACATCTGAACCTTGATAGTTGTCTGTGACTCTATGAGAATTCTCCTTTCTACTCCCTTTTAGTAATTCAATATATTGTTTTTCATTCAATTCATATTTCCCAGAAACTGAATTAGGCAAGGCAGAGTCAAGATCAACCTCCCCACCCCTGGTGAGAGTAAAGGGATAATAAGAAAGACATTTGCACAGAATCAGTTGATCTCCCACAGCCTCTCTCCACAGTCCATGTCAGGCAGATCTGGAAGACTGATGGGATGAGCCAAGGGTAGAATATTACCTGATAGGTATCTGTATTTAATCTCTTCAGCATATTAACGTCAGTTTGTTAGCTCTGCACTACAATTCCCTTATTTCTTTCATCTTCCCGATGAAGTACCTGTATCACCTCTTATGATCTGTCTGCAAAGTTGGCCAGTCATCTCTACTCTTGACAAAGTGCCAATGCCTCTCTAGCTGAAGCTTTTCATATGGCTTTAGGTTGATTGGAGTGCCATATTTTTTTTAATATTTATACTTGAATAATTCATTCAAGTCCATAAACTGTTATTATAAAAAAAGAAAACAAACTTTGAATACTTATAGATATGAAGCATTAAGCCTAGCAATTATAATATATTATTTAATATCAGTACAATGTATCTGTGAAGTTATTTTAAGATGCCATTGCTATTACTAGAGGTAATATAATAACGGCTAATATATTTGCTTAAGTTTATACCACTAATAAACTTTGTTTCCAGACTCTTGAAGCCTAGATCCTATTTTCCATGTTTACCTATTTTATAATTTTATTATCTCAGCAATCATTTAAGTTAAGCAGGGGGAGGATTACTTGTTTTGTTTTCTACTGTATCACAATACCTAGACAGTAATAGATACATAGATAACACCCAATGCCAATATATTGAATGATTAAGCAAATTGAATTAGATTTATGATTTAAGAAACCTTTGGTTCAAATTTAATTTTATAAAGTTGTCATCTAGAGAGTAATGGTGTGAGAGCTATTCAATTTTGATGTTTCTACTATTCTGTAGATCTTCTGTTGAGTCTTTTCAGAACAAGAACCTTGCTGCTAGGTATAAATATTGATGAGAAGACATATTGATTGTCCTTTAGGAATGCCTCTTTACTGCTATAAGTTTTACAGTTCTAATTAACTGGATGCTAGGAATAGTTATTACATGACTATTAAAATTATCTTTCTAGGTTTAAGTTTGGAGAAAACTGAGGTGTAAAGATGTATATACTGTAATTTGATTAATGATCTACCCCACCTCACAAAGAACTGGCACTGAGACTCAGGATTCTAACTCGTGTTCCACTACTTGATTCTATACCCCTTGGCAACCCTTGCTTCTTGATCCTCGGCGACATCTGTTTTCTTTCATCCTATCCCTCTTCCCTCTGAGACCTACCTCCAGGACCTTTCTACTTTGATTCTATAAAAACAACCAAGCTCCTCATTAAAGGGTAAAAGTATCATACATAGTGCCTGGGTCTGAATTAGGTGGTTAGCAAGGTGCATAGTGCTCAGAAAGGCTTGCAAAATGCATCCAAACCGGAGAAGTGGGAGGTCTCTAAGGAACACTAGAAAATCAGAAAACTTGGATTACAGTCCTGCCTTTGCCTTTCACTGACAATGTAATCATGTGAAAATTTTATTTCTTCTTTGAGCTAGTTTCATTATGTATAAAATAAGAAAGATTGTGGAGTCTCCTAAGAGTCCTGATGGCCTTAACACTTGATAACTGCTACTACTCGTTTGCCCTATTTTCCATAGGGTGGAGAAAGGGGTAGGTAAGATGTAATTCAAAGGTTTGTCTGACTTTGTTGTTCTGTGTACTTATGTTTCTTGGGGCTAGAAGAGAGGTAAGTTCTCAGTAACAACATTTCCCTTATTTATTTCGAAGCCCATTCATTTATGCACCAACATTTAATGAATCAATTGTATGCCAGGTAGTGTTCCCACTGATATTCTGTCCAGGATTTCTGCTTGTCTCTCCTCTGCTGGGATAGGGCTGAAACATGCTTGGTTAATTTCACACCAATGCTGGAGTAAGAGCTCAGATATTGACTACTGTCTGCTTCCTATACAGGCAATCATTGTGACAAATACAATGTGTTTACTGTTTTGGCTAACATATAAGGTTATTTATTTGCTCTAGTCTATTAATTGAAGTAGTCTTAATTTTTTTTTTTTTTGACAGGCAGAGTTAGACAGTGAGAGAGACAGAGAGAAAGGTCTTCCTTCCATTGGTTCACCCCCCAGATGGCCGCTAGGGCTGGTGCGCTGCGCTGATCCAAAGCCAGGAGCCAGGTGCCTCCTAATGGTCTCCCGTGTGGGTGCAGGGCCCAAGCACCTGGGCCATCCTCCACTGCCCTCCCAGGCCACAGCAGAGAGCTGGACTGGAAGAGGAGCAACCGGGACAGAACCCTGCGCTGCAACCGGGACTAGAACCCTGGGTACCGGCGCCGCAGGCAGAGGATTAGCCTAATGAGCTGTGGCGCCGGCTGAAATAGTCTTAAATTATAATATTTAAACACATAGTTGTTTCCTATTAAGAATTTTTTTTCTCTTTTCCATGCACTGCCTCAGACTCTCTCCTAAGCATGCCCCGGATATTCCTGATGACAGCACTGACAATATTACTATCTTCACCAGAATCTTGGATCGTCTTCTGGATGGCTATGACAACCGGCTACGACCTGGGCTTGGAGGTCAGTTATTTTAAGATCTTTTTGGCCATTGTCATAAGTTACCTTCAGTAATGCTATTAGTGTAAAGCTGAGTTTCTTCTCTCTGAGCACTGGAAATTGGTCCTCTATTCAGTGAGTAATTTGCCTGTTAGATTTTGGAAGGTCTGGATCTCACTTAGGCAAATTCATCTAAACTATTATACCTCAAAGTTTGACTAAGCCTATTTTTAAAATTTTATTTAAGTTATACAAGTTTCATATATTTCATATGTAAAGTTTTAGGGACATAGTGGCACTTCCCCCCCTACCCTCTTTCCCACCCACACTCCAACCCTTCCTCCCCCTCCCTCTCATATTCCGACTCTTAATTTTTACAATGATCTATTTTCAGCATACTTAATGATTGTATAGTTAAACCAACCCTAAGTAAAAGAATTTAACAAATAGCATGAAGAAAATGAAAACAAAACAAAACTGTTCCTCAAAGGAAGAGGCAAGGACTATAAATAATCATAGATGCTCAAAAAGTCTATTTCATGCCAATACATTACATTTCAGGTACTGTATATTAGTTACCTTGGATCATGGAAAACGTATGATATCTGTCTTTTTGAGACTGGCTTATTTCACTAAGTATGATAGTTTCCAGGTATGACCATACTGTTGCAAAAGACAGGATTTCATTATTTTAACAGGTGAGTGCATAGTGAATATATACTATAGTTTCTTTATCCAGTCAACAGTTGATGGACATCTGGGTTGATTCCATATCTTAGCTATCGTGAATTGTGCTGCAGTGAACATGGGGGGTACAGATAACTCTTCCATAGTCTGATTTCTTTTGGTATGGGCAAATTCCCAGGAGTGTGATGGCTGGATCATATGGTGGGTCTATATTCAGATTTCTGAGGTATCCCCATACTGTCTTCCACAGTGGTTGCACCCATTTACATTCCCACCAACAGTGTACCAGGGTACCTTTCCGCAAACATCCTTGCACTTTTGTTGTTTGTTGATTTCTATATGAGAGAAATTCTAACTGGAATGAGGTGAAAACTCACTGTGGTTTTTAATTCCATTTCCCTGATGGCTAGTGATCCTGAGCATTTTCTAGAGTGTCTGTTGGCCATTTGAATTTTTTCTCTTGAGAAATACCTGTTCAAATCTTTTACCCATTTCTAAACTGGACTGTTGGCTTTCTTGTGGGTGAATTTCTTAAGCTCTTTATAGATTCTGAATGTTAACCCTGTCTCTGTCTCTTTTAATGTGGGTGTTAAATGATTTACATTTAATGTGATGATGATTGATATGATTGTCTTTAAATCTACAACCTTGTTATATGCTTTCTGTTTGTTTAATCTGTTGTTATTTTTTCCCACTTTTTTCTGCCTGCTATGGTTAGGATATGGTTTGAAAGTTTCCACCAAGGATTCATGTGCTGGAAGCTTATTCCCTCGTGTGGCAATGTTGAAGTGGTGGGGCCTTTTAAATGTGGGGTCTGGTGGAAGATAATTAGGTGACTGGGGGCATTCTCCTTGAAAGAGATTAATTCATTCAATGTAATCAGTGTTTCCCCTTCTTTCATGTTACTCTTTATGATTGGAGGCTTGAAGCTTCTTTCTTAAGTTTGCTCATTCAATACACGCTAGTTTTTTTTTTTTTTTTTTTTTTTTTTTTAGCTATATTCTCCTTACCATGCTAGGAACTTATTCTTTCAATTTGTCTCTGATTTGGTAACCATTATCCAAATCGCACTATCCCTCCCAACCTTTAGAAATCACCATTCTGTGTTAAGATTTAGTTAGTTAGTTTGTTTATTTTTAGGTTCCACATA